CAGTAGAACAGTCTGTTACAATAGGAGCTACAGTCCCAGTGCAGTAGAACAGTCCTGATACAATAGGGGCTACAGTCCCAGTGCAGTAGCAGCAGTGAAGAAGAAGAAAGGAATTATTACTCACAGGCTCTCCAGGGATTCCTGGCTGCCCTGCCTCTCCCTGTATACAGAACACACAGGTACAGTCTCTCAGTGCCACAGGCTGCCTACCTTTGTCATTCATGCAGGGTTCAGTTTTTAATTTTCTCTCCCTTTTTATTTCAGCTTTTCTTTACCTTTTTCCTACACTTTCTTTTTCTACTTTTGTAAACTAATTTATTATCAGTGAATAAATTAATACAAGTTTAGACATGAACGTTCAATTCAATTCAATTTATTTTTATATAGCACCTTTCACAACAAGGTTGCTCCAAGGCATTTAAAGTGGGAGACAGCAGGTGAGCCCTAGTGCTCCCAGTCAGCTCTGGACTCGAGAAACAGACAGTGAAGATTTGAGCACCAGGCTGCTGTCCCCGTCAGTCAGCTGTGTTCACACTAGTGCACAGGAAGCATCTAGAACAGAAGCCACCAGATTCTCTGAATTACAGCGTCAGTGAAAAACCTTTACCATCCCTGCAATATGGTACTACTAAACCAGGACTACCCATCTTGGTGAACTTATTACTGTATTTAAATCAAACTGTAATTTAGCCCAATACAAGATGAACCCCGAGAAGCTTGTTGAGAGAACGGCACTGATCAAAAGAATGGGGGTCACCTTCTGTCCGCCAGGTCCACGGGCTCCCTGGAACCCCATGGAGCCCCTCTCGCCTGCCTCACCCTTCGGACCCTGTGGAGACAGAACAGCTCAGGTCACCCGTCTAGGAGTCTGTTCAGTCGCCTTCTGACCCCAGCGTGAGAGAGACCCAGCAGAAAAGCCCTGTGCTCCGGATCGCAGGAGGGGACTTGTGAGTGAAGATGTGGGGACACTCCCGAAGAGTTTTCAAGAGGAAGAGCTGCTGCATCTGCAGGAACCTGCTAGTGCCTATTGCACCATGATATAACTGCCGCCCTGCGAGACAGTTCATGCACAAGACATCGGTCATACCTGTTCATACGATCAAAGAGCCAACCCCCATCATCCTCACCTGCTGCCCTGGTGGTCCTTCCTCACCCTTCACCCCCTTCTCCCCCTGCAGGCCCTTCGGGCCCCGTTCGCCCTGCAACACAGACACGTGTGACCCCAGGTGACCCTCAGATGACCCCAGGTAACCTCTGGTACTCAGTAGAGCTCAAAACAGACACAGCAGTGCACTCCGTTGACATCTAATTACAAAAGACTGGATTCAGAGCACTGAACTTCAACACATGAAGAAAAAAACTGCAACTGAATGTAAATACATAAGATTATAAAATCGTCCCTGTTGTATCACAGAGTTTTCCACAGAGGTGGCAAGCAGACACCCATAGCAGGGCATCTCAACCTTTTCCAGGTTCTGTGCATTGTGTGCTCTTGTACACACAGTACTCGAAGAACAGAAAAGCAAATAAATGCACATATACTGTCTTTTATGGGCTCAACAAGGAGCTTAACTCACAAAGAGCCGTTAAGTATTTAAACTGCAGAGGCTCAGACTGCTGTGAAAGTCCTGGCTCTGTCCACCCCTCCATCACTCCTGAAACCGGGTGACACTCACATTCTCGCCTTTGTTGCCCCGGGGTCCTGCCGGTCCGCTGACTGACACCGTGTCGCCCTGCGTTAGACACACAGAGGCACAGTTACAGTCCCGCTTGTCCAAGAGCATGTGACTCAGGGGTGCCACCATCTGCTGTGCATCAAAGGCTCGGACAGCATGAGCAGACACTGGTCCTGTCGCAAACCCTAAGCACAGCTTTCAGACAGGGCTCAGCTTCTGCAAACACCCACATTCCCGGGGAGCTTCTGGGTTCGTCGACAGGTGTGTGTGTTAGGAGTGGCTTAACAACTGAGCAAGGGTTCAGCATACAGTGACCAGTTTACAACAGGGACTTAGCTCAGATGGGATGTAGCGATCGTGCAGGTACCTTGTCTCCTTTTTCACCTAAGGGCCCAACGTCGCCCTGGAGCAACACAAAAAGAATTCAGTGTCACCACAGTGTCTCAGGTCACACTGCTGTGACACAGAAGTGACACAGAACTGCTGTAGATTCACTAGTCATGACATCTACTCCTCTCATGCCCAGTCTACTCCTGACCAGCACGTATTACAAGTGTTACTAAACATTTGTTACCACAGAACCTGGAATTCAAATGCGAGAGAGCAGATCGACTGTTGCTCTTACCTTCTCCCCCCTCTCTCCTCGACTGCCTGGCGGGCCCTGGAACACACAGGAGAGTCACTGCAACCGCTGGCCACGTATAGTGTAACACAGTAATAACAGTGTAATACAGGTGTAAGGCAAGACAGTGACAGTAAGACAGTGGGATTTCCAAAGCTTTTGGCTATAGACCAGAACATGACAACACTAGAATGCAGAAATGACACTAGGCAGTATGACAGCGCGTCTGGAGAACTAGCTGCGGCGCACTCAGAGTCAGAGTCATTCACAGCATCTGCCCTGCAGCACAGAGCTGTGATGAGCTGTGATGTGTGACAGAAATCAGCAAGAGAATAATTACTGTGGGTCCTCTCTCTCCATCCAGGCCAGGCCTGCCCTCTTCTCCCTGCAGCAGAAAGATTCGATCAATCTTCACTACCGTCAGGCAACAAATACAGACTGCTGGGATACAGACAATACCATTCAGCACAAAAACTTTCAGAAAAGGTTTCTGCTCAGAAGTCTTCATGGAGAGCTGGGCTTAGTAGAGAAAACCAACCTAAAGGAAAGCAGTGCAGTACCTCCCCTTTGCTACCTTCCACCCACCTGTATCTTGATGTGCTATCGCCTCAGTAACAGGAGAGGTTACACAAGGAAAAGAGGCAGCGGTGGTACAGTACACTGAATCTACACTACAAGGCCTCAACCGGCTGTCCAAATCATGTCAATTAATTCATCAGTTAATGAATGAGTTTGATAAGTAGCGTACCCGGCTACCCTGGTCTCCCCTCTCTCCCCGTGGTCCTGGCAGACCGACTCCCACATCTCCCTGATGGGGGAACAGAAAGGCAGCAGAAAAAATCATTCTTGTAAGACAGACAGATAGAAAATCAACGATTAACAAAATAAAGATCTTCTCTTGCTCATGAAGACTGATCTCTCTAAGGCCCCTCCTGGACTCTGCCTCTTGCATGTTGAAACTCTTTCATAGAGCTGGCCAACGTTCTGAATTACAAACACACTCGTGGGTTCAGCACTCAGTCACCTCCAGCCCTCAATCAGACAGCAGCACATGGAGCATGGCTGGACACGGCCTAGAATCAGCTCCCTCTGCCTCATGTGTGACTCTTTCAGTGTGATTCAGGGCTTGAGCCTTGCGACTGTGTTGAGAGCGCTCAGTGCGTTTACCATGTCCACATGGTGCAGGAGCAAAATGCAGACTCACCTTGTCTCCCTTCGGCCCTGCAGGTCCTGAAGAGCCCTGAGAGAAAAGCAAGGCACAGTTTAGAGTCTGGCACTGCATTGGGCTTGGAACCCGTGAACCCCACTGCCTTGAGAGGTACAGCATGTAATGATTTAATAGCTGGATGTCATAATTTATGCATTCTAGAATCTAAGATTATTTGAACACTTATGGCCAGTGAGAAAACGCAAAGTGATAAAAACTGTTGCTAGACCACATTTTTACCACTTGATAAATGCTTTGTAATTAAAATTTCTGGTACGTAAGTTGGTCTTGTTAGTGTTTAGAAAATGTTAATAAATGCTATAATACAAACCTCAAAAAGGAGCTAACTCTACTGGAAGTGTAGATGCCCATAATTCATAAATCATTCTCCACCACACTAAGTTACAATTTTCTAAAAAGGAAAGAAAGCTCACAACATTTGACCTACCAACAGGAAACACCAGGGGACAGTGTGGAGTAGTGCTAAGGTTTGTGGAAGCAGAACAATCTCAGTTCACATTGTGGATCACAAATTCCACCACCAACTGTCTGGCCTGCAGACAGCACCGCTCGGTGCACGAGAATATAGCTGTACCCCAGTTCCAGATGTGTGGGCACCAGCACCTCTGGAGAGTTTACCAGTGTTGGGGGGGCACACAGCTGAAGGGTTCACCAGTGTTGGGGCTGGAGAGTTCACCAGTGTCAGGGGAGCACACAGCTGGAGGGATCACCAGTGTTGGGGGGCACGAGCACCTCTGGAGAGTTCACCAGTGTCAGGGGAGCACACAGCTGGAGGGATCACCAGGGCACACAGCCAGGCACCAGGTGAGTCTTGCAGTCTCAGATCCCCCCTGCTGACCCGCCCAACTTCTGAAGGACATCACTGTCACCTGAGGCAACCCCAGGAGGTGGATTGGACACTTTCCACATTCTTAGTGGGTTTTTTTAGTAAGAAAAAAACAAAAGAGGTGGAAACGGTGTGCAGGAGAGTGACCGCGGAGTCCAGACCGGTATGGGAGACTCACCGCCAGCCCAGAGGGTCCTGGGGGCCCGGGCTGCCCTGTGTTTCCGTCTCGTCCCGGGAATCCCTGCAGGCCCTGCGCACACAGAACATACACAGCAGACGTGGAGTCATGCCAGGGAGGGGTCCAGAGGGAATTTCACAGAACTGCAGTAAAGCACTTCAGAGAACAGTTTCACATAAGTGGAGGCCAAATAGCCCATCCTCTCAGGATTCAGGTGGGCACAGTGCCCCTCTTACCCTCTCTCCCAGGGGTCCTGGGGGACCGGGCTGCCCTGTCTCTCCCCTCAGCCCTGGCAGCCCAGGGTTCCCTGCGATGCCTTGGGGCCCTGGGGGACCAGAGGGACCAGGAAGTCCTGGGTCACCCTGGAAAAACACAACAGCAGTACAGTGCAGGAGTACTGTGGTATCACTGTCCGTCCATTAGTCCTAATCAGGAACAGTACAGAGCTCCTGTAATGACTCAGGAACAGTACAGAGCTCCTTGAATGACTCAGGAACAGTACACTGCTCCTGTAATGACCCAGGAACAGTACAGAGCTCCTGTAATGCTTCAGGAACAGTACAGAGCTCCTGTAATGCTTCAGGAACAGTACAGAGCTCCTGTAATGACCCAGGAACAGTACAGAGCTCCTGTAATGACCCAGGAACAGTACAGAGCTCCTGTAATGCTTCAGGAACAGTACAGAGTTCCTGTAATGACCCAGGAACAGTACAGAGCTCCTGTCATGACTCAGGAACAGTACAGAGGTCCTGTCATGACTCAGGAACAGTACAGAGGTCCTGTCATGACTCAGGAACAGTACAGAGGTCCTGTAATAACTCAGGAACAGTACAGAGCTCCTGTCATGACTCAGGATCAGTAGAGTGCTCCAGTAATGACACTCACCTTTAATCCCTGAGGTCCAGGTTGGCCTGTGGGTCCAGGCAGTCCCACTCCCCTCTCTCCCTGGAACACACCCAGGAACAACAATGTCGCGTCACAATATATCGCACTATTGCAACACAGAATGTCCCACTGTGACATGACAATATACTGTATCACAAGAAGCCTGAACCATCCATCACTGACCTTGTCTCCTTTGGGTCCAGGCTCTCCTTTTGCTCCCTGAGACACAGAGACAGGCTCATTAGCTCACATCACAGCCACCTCTCCCAGTATGCCAGTGCAGGCACCAGCACAAGTCCCAGCTCACAGCCCAGCAACAGGCACCACCTCCGGCAGCCCTGGGCTCTCAAACATTTCTAAAACTGTGCAAACCTGTGTCCTTTTCTGTATCGTTACCTGGCTACTGGCAGCTTTACAGTATGTTGTCACCAGCATGTACGTGCACACACTCGAATGCTCTTACCTGAGCTAAGAGCATAAGGAAGGCTAAAAAGGCTATTCGGCCCATTATCCTGTTCGGCAGTAATAAATGCTGTTGTCCTGTACTGCTCCCTCACCTGCGCTTCACTGTGTAACAGGACTGGTGAAGCTTTGTGAGCTTTGTAAAAAAATTCAGATTGTTAGTTATGTCTCTAAAATGTTTGATTTATTAGTCAGTCCACTCACATCTTCTCCCGGCTCTCCAGCTTCCCCCGAGTCTCCCTGAAAAACACATAAGCAGACAGGTTTCAGACACCCTGACACTGAGCTTGCAGAAGAGTGCCAGTCAGACAGGAAGCAAGAGCATAACACCATCCAAAAACATCCAGCTGAGTAACAAGGAGAGGCTGCTCAGAACCCAGCACTGCTTGTCGCTTACTGGCTTGAGAATCTCATCTAGCGGTTTCCTGAAGAAGCTGGACTGTTGATTGCAGAGCTCCATAACTGTAAAGAACAGTGCCTCCTCTTCACAGGAGAGGCCCTAATCCTAACCCTAGCCCTGAATGCACACCCTGTAATTTCCAATAGTGATCCCGGACCTGTGCTTTTCTGCAGGTTCTGACTTTGTCAATACATTTAATTTTAAAAACTGTGCAGTCTGCTCTGTCACAGACTAAGAGCTTCAGTTTGTTTAGCCAGCCCGTGTGTGAGAAGCAGCTGTCCTGCTCACTCTTCTCAGATCTCTGGACAGCTCTGCCCTTTCAGAAATGTGATGCACAGTCTTCACAGCAAGGTCTTACTAAAGCTCTGGATAATTAAAGTAAATAAATGACTTTGTTTATGCTAGAAGACAATAACAACAGTGTTAAAAGCCACCTGTCTTCACACTGTAATTATAATGACTTTTACCATCAGCATCATTGATATTGGTAGAGACACTGTTCTTACCCTCTCTCCTTTGTTCCCAGGAACTCCTTTATCTCCCTTTTCACCCTGAAATTAAAAAAGCAATTAACAAAGCGTAACACAAAAACCGGACTAATGAAAACTAGTTACAGGACGGCACAGTGGTTTGATGGGGAGCAACGCTGCTTCTGTGCTCTTGGATGTGGCTCCTGCCATTTCAGAGTTTGGATGTTCTCCCTGTGTTCTCAAAGTCAGTGGTGTCTCTAAACTGCCCTTGTGTGTGGCCTGTGGTGGACCGGGCCTGTGGTCCTGCACTGTGTCCTCTGTCTGCTGTGCTCTTGCCAAGCCAAGCATAAAAAACCAGAAGCCTTTGACAAGCAAAGCTGGCAGCTGAGCTTTTCCCTTCACAGCACTGGGCGCAGTTTAAACAGGTTGGTCCAGTTGCAGGAATCACTGCAGAGTCCAATCATGAAGGGACTGGAGGCCTGCTAAGATCAAAGTACAGCAGCAGAATGGGATGAACATGGCTGCCTACCCGTGTGCTCGGGAGACAGCTGCTCTGTCCTTGGCCCAGCCCCCCTTTCCCCACTGAACTCTCACCTGCTCCCCGGGGAGACCCCTCTCGCCCGACAACCCTGGCAGAACCAAACCTGCAGACCCCTGGAAAGACAAGCCCGTGTTTATCACATGTTCATGTTAAGTCCAGTATCTTTCATAGTGGCAGTAATCTGTGATCCAGTGCCATTCTAACATGCTCCTGAGGATGAGGACACCAGCTGCGAACGTCTCACTCTTACCTTCTCTCCTTTCGGTCCCTGAGGGCCCACTATGGACTGCAGAGAAAGGAGAGAGCAGGAAGGGAGTGTTGGTTAGATGTTTGCCTGTTATATTCATGAATAACTCCTTCTCCTGCTGCTTCTCCTCTTATTTAGATCTGCAGATGCTTTTCTATGTGGAAGGCGTCTGGGGCAGCACTACAGTATGTATCTGGTTACAGTCTGGCCACGGGCTGGCCTGCCGAATCAAATCAACAGCACCAAGACCAAAGCAGCAGGAACCCAGGAACAGGCAAATCCGTCTTTTTCTTCACGAGGGTGTGGAAGACAACAGGCAGCTCTAAGGACAGTGTCTTTCCTTCAGCGCAGTGACATTTCTAAAGCAGCTGGACACACGCGTCACCCACCTCTCCTGGAGGACCAGTGTCGCCCTGCTCGCCCTTCAGGCCTGGAGTACCCACTGGGCCGACCACACCCTGGGAGAGGCAGAGAGTTAGGGAGAGACAGAGAGAAGGACGAAGCGCAGGAAAGCTCTCTGCACTGGTCTCTCCTCCTTACCGGCTTCCCTGACAGACCAGGCTCTCCGTCTTTCCCTGGCACGCCGTCTCGGCCGGGAACGCCAGGCTTTCCCGATTCTCCCTGAGGAGAGCAGAGACACATGGGCCTGAGAGTCCCGCCTCACACACCTGAGAGCCCCTCCCCTGCACCTGCAGCAGAGCTCTGTACTCACCACCTGGCCCGGCAGCCCGGGGGGGCCCGGAGGACTCTGGAGAGAGACAGAAAGAATCACTCGTTTCGGACTTCCGCTGCACCTCAGCTTCCAACATTCACGTTTTATTTTCAAATTACTACAAGCATCACATTGATCAATATAAAGAGAGCTACATATATTAAAGTTACATACTGTATATTGCAGTTAAAGTTACACATACTACACCATGATGTAGACAAGGACATTTAAATGCATAAACTCAAATACACTTACAGTAAATATAATATTCTGGGTATATATGCGGGATGTGTGTTAAAAATATTTGCTTCACCATTCTTCTGCTTCACATATCGTTTATAGTTTTCACACCTGAAGAAGGCTCCACAGCCAAAACGTGTTTCTTTTCTTACCTTTTCAGCACGGAATAAACCTTTACTTGTTCCCTTGTTTATGTGTGTACAGTATGTCACTTACTAAATAACATTCTGCTTTGGTAAAACAAACTCTGGTCTCAGGACAATAATGCAGCTGAATGTGAGAGAATGAGACCTGGACAGTGGCGACTCCAGAGGAGTGAGGGCTAGCCTTCAGCCTCCCGTATTGTGCTGCAGCTTCCTAAGGCTGTGGGAAGCCTGCAGACTGTGGGAGCTGCTCACTGGATTCAATCAGCTCTTTCAGCTCCCAGCACAGCCCAGACCCAAGACCCAAGTGTGGCTGTGGGGGAACCGTTGAGACATGCCCGTGGTGGGCTCTGATGCCCGTCAGGGGAATTCAGTGCCACTTACTGCAGCTCCTGGAGGCCCTGGAGGACCTGGCAGTCCCATGTTGCCTTGTGGCCCTGGCAGTCCCTGGCACAGAAAACAAGAGCAGTCAGAATGAGCTCTGTGGTCTCAAGGCCTCCTTCTTCCATACAGTCAGATACAGCACCACTTACAAACCTGTTTGGCCTAAATTCATTTTACATACTTGTAAGTTCAAAACAGATTTCTATCTAAGTGGTATCTACGACTGTTAAACAAAATGTCACCACTAACCATAACAAGAATGACATAATTAGAGAGGATACTGGATCCCAGTATCTGAACTACTGTATGCTGCGGGTAGAGGTGTGTAGAATATTACTGGTCTTACTGGAACAGAACATTTCATTCCTATAGGCCTTACCTGAATCCCAATGCCTGGCTCACCCTGGTTACCCTGCAGACAGAGGACAGGCAGAATTATAGTAAATAAGCACAGATGCCAGATGTCTTAAGCAGCACACGACAAGCAAACTGAAGTACTCTAGTGCACTAGTGTAAAGGACAGCACACCATAGCTCAGGACATTCTACTAACATACAGGTCAGCAGACTACAGCACTGTAGAAGACAGCACAGTGCAGCACTGTACAGAATAACACACTACAGCTCATGGTTGTAAACTACACATTGCTATTGTGCAGCAAAGCACACTACTCTATACAGTACTGCTGGCACTAGTAGAATCTAAGCTGAATGAGTCTGTTGAGCAGAGGGATAATAACACTGAAAAGTATTACCAATAAACTGATTGTCATTCCTGTTCTTCCTGTTTGGCTAGAAGCTCAGGATCAACAAGAAGAAAAAGCAAACCAACCTTTAGTCCAGGGGGCCCCTGTGGACCGCTGGGGCCAGCAGGACCCTGCAGAGACAAACAGAATCTGTATCAGCTGGGAGACACTGTCCCACCTGTTCACAGTCCACTACTCCACAGCTGTTCACCAACATTCACCACTGGAGCTGGAGCAGTGTAAAGAAGTGGGCAATACAGACAAACTGCCATCAAGCAGCTCAGTGGATTGCGCTCTCTCCTGGCGCTGGAAAGACCCAGCCCTGCAGGAGCTACAGGGAGCCAAGAGGCTCCTGATCCAGAATCAGGGAATTCAGGACAATTTAAGTCACTGATTGATTTAATGAAGCTATTAACAGCTCAAATTGAGTGGAAACCAGTGGAATATATATGTAATGTAAAACACTTTGTCAGAGTGACAATATTCATGGTATAAACAGGACAGTGGGCAGCTCTGATCCCCCTGATGGTATTAAGTGGGCAGTGGGCAGAAATGCTGATCTTTGTAGCCATTCAGTGCTGCTGGCAGGTGCTGCAGAGACCGTGTAATCTACTCACTGGGGGTCCTCGAGTTCCTGGTTCTCCCGGGTTTCCCTACAAAACAGATCCAAGTTAATCTCAGTCCAGCAGTAAAGAAGTGTCAACAGAGCACAGTGATACTGACACACTTACACATTCACACTGACATCGCATGCACACTCACACTGACACGTTCACACCGTCCCACTGGCACACACACATGTACACATTGACACTGCATACACGCTATCCACTGACACATACACACTGTTACACAGACATCTGTGGTGCACAGTGTTGGCAGGCTATTTCAAGTAGCACTCTGTATGCTACTTACACTATAGCAACACACTTGCAATTGTTAATAACGGTGCTGATGCATGTGCAGAGAGCTCACAGGCAGGACTGGATGATTCAGCAGGGCGGCGTCTCTCAGATGAGCTTGCATGGCTCAGGTGCAGCATGCAAGGTGGAGCCGGTGCAGGGTTCGATTTAGAAAGATGTTCTGCCACTGAGAAAAACAGTCTTGCAGCTCTGGTCTCGGTCATGTGTCCCTGTCCTCTCGACACCAGAGGGAGTCTAGTGCCAGACCTGCCAATCTAACCCACTGCTGGTGTTTGATACAACCTGCTGCTTATTTACACTATTAAACTTGATCATCAATTAAGGATACCTACTTCTTAAAGAAACCATTAATCAGATTAATAATTATTTTACACAAATATCTGAAAGTTTTATTTAGAAATAATGTGATTTTTTCAAAATAAATGAATAACCTGCTGAGAGGTTAAATAAGACACAGAGACCAAGGCTGCAGCCTCTGTCTGCAGTGTGATGCTTCACAAACAGCACTGAGCACCTACCGGTCTGCCCAGCACTCCGGGGAACCCAGGCAGGCCCTGCGAGAGAGAGGGAGAGAGTGCAGCCACAGGGTCAGACAGCGCTAGCAGGAGCACAGGCTGCGGACAGAAGCAGTGCGGACCGTGCTACAGAGACCGAGCAGCCCCGCGCACCAGTGCGCTTGCAAACAGACCCAGGCACAGGCCCAGCGCGCCTACTGTTACTCACTGGGCGGCCCTGGGGTCCGATCTCCCCCTGCCAGCCCTGGACGTGAGGCAATGAGAGAGTGTTAGAGGAGGACTGCCTGAGCCCTCATCCTGCCCCCCGGACCTCCGTCCACCCCTGTCCTGAAGACTCAGAAACATTCCCTCCCCCCCACTGGAGAGAGTCTCCACCTACACCCCCCCCCCTGGAGAGAGTCAAGAGTCTCACCTGCCCACCGCCCTACCCCACTGGAGAGTCTCCCCTAATTCTAAAATCTAATCCTGCAGCAGTTTTACCAGTTTTGGCAAATAGAGAGTGAAATTTCCCCCAATTCCCTCTGTCGGTCTTGCTCCTCTCATCAATTCTACCACCACCCTCAAGTACCCCCAAGTCATCCCCTCCCACTAAGGAGAACACAACCATTGAGGTTCCATTTTTCCATTACTAGCTCCACTCACCCATTCTACAGCCACCCCATTGGTTCCTAGTGTTCTAATCCCACCCTTTCATTTAACCACACCCCTCATTTCCAATCTCCCCCCCTCGTTGTCACCCTTCCCCACAGCAGCAGCTTCCCCACTTGACCATGTAACCTGCACCCAAATTCTGACCCCAGCTTGTCCCCTACTCACTGGCTTCCCATCAGGTCCAGGCTGCCCTGGTTCACCAGGAGACCCCTGAAAATAATCAGATATTTTTAAATTTTACACTTCATCCTGTTAGTTGAAGACAATGAGTATACACCAGATTTACTATAAACAAAATCACAATCCATTCAATTCTATGTTCATTCATATTAATCACCCAGACCAGCCTGTTAGCATAGGTCAGGGGCAACAAGCTTACCGAAAACCCATCTCGTCCCTTCTCACCCTGGTCACCTCTCTCGCCCTTATCCCCACGTGATCCTTCTGCCCCCTACAGGACAAACATGAGCACTGCATGAGCACACATCTGCACATCTCAGTGTGAGTGTAAATACCCGAGGGCAGAGATAGGACCACTCACCTTGTCTCCTTTGGAGCCTGCTGGTCCCTGGAGCCCTGGCTCCCCCTGCAGGAGACCAGAGACACTGCGTGAGGCACATATCACACACACTGATAACACCATTGCAATCATCACTCATACTGCTCCTGCCACCATTCCTGGTATTATAAAACTGTAACTGCTTCTCTTACTGATCACACTACTGCCACTGTTACTGCTGATAATACTCTACCTACTGCTAATAATAACAATAACTGGGTCATGAAAAACCTTTTGCATTGGTCATTGAATGTTCAAACTACAACTGTCTGAAAGCAACACCCTCACAACAGTCCATCCAAGAACTGCCCCTCCTGCCCCTGTCCTAAGCCCAGTGAATGACTCTCACCTTCTGTCCAGGCAGTCCAGGTAGCCCCCTCTCTCCTGGGAGCCCTGCACCTGACATATCCACAGGATCCCCCTGGAACACAACAGGCAGAGAGGACAACTGCTTTCAGCTCCCTTGCCTACATTTTTACAGCAGAACTCTGATCAGTCAAACCAATGGGCACTGACAGCTTTGTGTAACTCATGTCTCAAGACATCAGTTATACACTGTAAGTCACAGCATGTATATTTTGTAGAACCACCGCAGAGAGATGTGTGTGACATGAGGACCACTGCGTCCTACAGGTGCCAGCTGTGATAAAACTCAGGTTTGACTTCTGTCTCCAGCAGCTCAGCCCCTCATGCAAGGAAGCGACCAGACAGAGAAGACAGAAAAGGTCTACATTAAGTGGTGTTTCCGTTTTCTAAAATGATGCTGTCACAGAACAACTTTCAGATGAGCGATTTCCCCAAACTAGGGAATTGTGCAATGTGTTGTGGGTTGCATATTCATATTGTCTGTTCCCATTGTAACAAGGCCCCTTTCACTAACAGAAAACTCAATTTGTTGTCTTTTTCAATTTTTAGACACAAATTCTCCTGAGGCACCGTTAGACACACTGGATTCCCCTGGCTGTGTCACAGAGCTGTAGCTGCACAGCGCAACTTACTCTTCTACATTTCACAATGTCGACTGCTATCTCTACAAGTGCCGGTCACCAGGATGGAGATTCTCGCTTTACTGTTTGCAGACCAGAGCACCTATTCAATATGATGATGAAAAGGTGCACGACAGGCTCTCTGAGGAGAGAAAGTATAACAGGCAGAGGACAGGCTCAGACTGCTGGACAGAAAAGGTGTTTAGGGTGCAGAGGGGTCTCACCTTGGGTCCTGGGAGGCCAGGGGGCCCAGCCTGGCCATCTTTTCCCTGCAACACAGAAAGTAATCAAGTCCTGCATTTCCAAACATAGAAGTATGACGACAGACAGCACAAGCAGGAGTTTGTATAGCTGTCTTAGTCCCAGGAGCCACCTTCATCATTCCGGTGTTTGTAAAAGTACAGTACAGGAAATTCTACATAAAATCTCCCAAATTTCAGACAAAACTTGTTTTTGAAAACTGAGGTAGAATGTGTAGAGTGCCACATGAAATTGCTCATAATGTCCCTACTGGTGATGTGTCCAACTCTGTCTCCCATGATCAGTATAGCCCTCTCTAATGTGCCATTTGTCTAATGCAATTTAACTGTGCCTAATGACATTCCATTGTGCTTAGTATATCAGAGTATACCTAGTATAGCAGAGTGCATCATGTCTCCTGTCTGGGATAGTTATAGGTACAAGCTATCCTGTGTGGGACAGTTACAGGTGTAGTGTCTCCTCTCAGGCTGCCTGGGGTGTGAGTGCGCAGTGGCTCAGTCCAGGCAGTCAGAAGTGAAGCAGCTGTACTCACCCCACTGCCTTTCTCCCCTTTCTCTCCACGCTCCCCCTAAAAACACACATAGACAAACACACAGCACCGTGAGGATACACACACAGCACTGAGAGAACACACACACAGAGCTGTGAGGATACACACACAGTACTGAGAGAACACACACACACAGAGCTGTGAGGATACACACACGGCACCGAGTGAACACACACACACAGAGCTGTGAGGACACACACACACACACACACACACACAGAGCTGTGAGGATACACACACACAGCACTGAGAAAACACACACACACAGAGCTGTGAGGACACACACACACACACACACACACACACACACAGAGCTGTGAGGATACACACTCAGCACTGAGAAAACACACACACACAGCACCGTGAGGATACACACACAGCACTGAGAGAACACACACACACAGAGCTGTGAGGATACACACACAGCACTGAGAGAACACACACACA